GGGCAAGCACAGCCTCTACCCCGTGAAGCCATCTGACAATACTCCGCAAACTGGTGGCCGAGACAAGCGTGCAACTGGAGAGGTCCGCCGGCACGCAGCCTTGCGACGAGTCAGCCATGTCCTCGGCTGTCTCCCGAGAGAGAGAGGCCTCGATCCGGCCGCTCCCGGCCGAGCTGCACTCGCCACCGAACCGCACCGCCGGTCGAGCTGCTCACGCTTGAGCTGCCGCACCCATCGAGCAGCCGCTCCCTCGGGATGCTCTGGATTCCTCCTCCTCCTCCTCCTCCTCCTCCTCCTCCTCCGCTTCCTCCTCCTCCTCTCCTCCTCCTCCTCCTCCTCCTCCTCCTCCTCCTCCCCCTCCCCCTCCTCCTCCTCCTCCTCCTCCTCCTCCTCCTCCTCCTCCTCCTCCTCCTCCTCCTCCTCCTCAAAGGAGGGTGTTGCGTCAGCTTTCTGGTGCAAGAGGCGTGTCGCGCTCCCGCTGGAGCGCTCATCGGCCAAATGTCTGCGACGGCATACTTGCAACGGGCCTATGAGGTCACTGAAGGCAAGCCATACTGCAGGATGGCGGCAAACAGCTCACTGAAGGTAAATATCGGATGGCGGCAAGGAGCTCACCTTTTGCCGCCATCCCGTCAAACAATGTTCGCCCTCAGTGAACTTGTTTTGCCTTCAGTGAGCTCATTGCCGCCATCAAGCTGCGCTCCGTCCAGCTGCGCTCCACCCCGCACCCGTTCCCGTCGAGTTTCTGGGTGCCCCAGAACGGTGTGGTGGCCAAACGGCATGGCGAGTCCGTGGGGACTCGGGGGTGCCCCGCGCGGTTCTGGGACCCTCGGCGCTGCTCGGCCTCCTCCGAGCCGAGCCCATGCGTGGATCCTGACTTCGCCGAGCGGTCGATCCTCCCCGTGAACATCTGTTCATGATTTCCAGCGACGGTCGTTGCCCGGGGGCCCAGGGGGGGAGGGGCCCTGGGTAACGGCAACGCTTGGGCGGGGTGGGGCACGTCGGGGCGGGGGTGCGCAGCGACCGCCACAGTACGCGCGCGAGCACCAACATGTGGAAACGGTCCAGGCCTTCTCCTCCTCCTCCTCCTCCTCCTCCACCAGCACCCGCCTCATGACCCGAGCCCGTGGCAGAGCCATCAGCTCGTCATTGTCGTTGTCGTCGTGGTCGTCGTCGTGGTCTTCGTCGTCGCCATTGTGGGCCAGCGGCACCAGCCGCAAGGCCTTCACAACGTCGTCGACGACCCTCCCCCTACGTACGATCGTTGCCTTAACCCGGGGGGGGAGGCCGGGTAACGACCGTTACGCGCCAGAGGGTGCAAAGCAACCTTTCCCTGCCCTGGCCGAATGACGTGCAGTGCTCGGCTTCCGTGCTGGCCGCGCTGGGGAGTCGGCCCGCGCCCCTGCCACGGCCCCGCAAGCGCAGGCCCGGGCACACGGCAGCTCGCAAGGACCGACGAGCACACGGGCACGCGCAAGGACTGAGGCAGAGAGTGAGACATAGCGACGGACCGACGAGGCGACGACCAGCAGAGCGAAAGCCCAGCCGGTGGACGAACGGACTCACACACGGGCAGACAGACGGATGCACAGGCAGCCAGACCCTCACAGCGAGCGACCGAACAACAGACGCAAGCTTTTGGCGCTTCGGCGAAGCCTCGCAACAAGCGAATCCAGCAAAGTCAGCAAAGCAAGTACCGACAGAAACTCAAAGTCCATTGCGAGGATACAAAAGAAGGGTGCGAAACACTCCGAAATCAAACTTACCATTTAGAGCTCCTTGGACGTCAACATTGGCTCAGGATGGGCCGAAGAAGCAGGGATGCGAGGGTCGCCTTGATGAAGCAGCGCATCCTCACTATGGATTCTGACTGTACTGCAAGAGCTGCGTGGCAGTTCAGCAGCGCTCCACGAAGCAATCAAATTCTGCAGGCTGGTCCTTCAAGGGTGTCGCTGCAAATTCATACTGCCGCTACTGGCCGTGAGCCTATGAGAGCAAAGCAGGCATTTGACTGGAACAAGACGCCTGGCTCTGGCTCGGCTAGCGTTGAGACTGTCTCGAAGGTGAACCAGCAAGCCCTGAGAGCTCAAGCTCGTCATACTTGATCGTTCGCACCCACCCTTCGCCGATGGCGCAGGCAGAACCCGTCCTGCCCGCCCTTGCAGATCCACATCTGCTGAGGGGCGGCGGAGGGAGAGGCTCAGGTGGCATGCACGACTTAGGGCAAACCGCTTAGGGCAAATCACTTAGGGAGAACTGGAGAGGCGAGGGGCGGAGGTGGGCGGATGTCTCTCGCCCCTCGCTGCGTGCATGGGGAGAGGAGGGGGGGGGGAAAGGGACCGGCTGTCGCCGGAAGTGGCCCTGGCCCAGGGTGCCCCCAGGTGTTCTGCAGAGACCAGGTGGCCTGCAGAGCCCCCATCACTAGAACAAGCGAGCCCCTGGAACTCGAGCACTGCACGAGAAGACGTGGCAACCCTGGGCCAAGGATCACCCTTGGCAACCTCGGTAGAGGCATCCCATGTGGTCCGAGCAAATGGAGTCGGAGGATCGCGCCGCATCGCCGATACCTCGACGATGCATCGGCAATGATTAGGCGATGCATTGGCGATGCATCGGCGAGGTCGGCGTGGAGAGAATCGGGCCCAGCATCGAGCCGCATCGCCGATGATGCATCAGCGATGCGGCGCGATCCTCCGACCCCATCTGATCGGACCTCATCTGGGAGGCCTAGACTGCGAGGGAGGCAAGAAGGGACAAGCGCGGGAGGCACAGCGCCTACCGGCCCCAATGGGGCTGGCATGCGCTCCGCCCCCAAGAATCACACGGATGGTATGGGTTCGGATGCAACCCCTGCGAAATTTTCGCCAAAACGTAGAAGAAGGCTAGTAAGCCCGATTGAGGCGCCACTGGGCCGGAGCGGGCCAGATTAAGCCCGGGATTGAGCCAGAGCGAGCCCGGGACTGAACCGGAGCAGGCGGGATGAAGCGGGATGCAGCCAGATCCGGCCACTTTTCGACCCAGGAGCTGCACCCGGACATGGACGTGGGGGCGGGGCGAGCGAGAGGACGCAGGCCGCAGTGGTGCCCAGCACCGCGAGCAAACAGAGCCCAGAGCGGACGGGCCGCCCTGCCCTCAGGGGCGTCAGGAGGCCGCCGCTGCCCCCCGTGCGTCGGCCGAGGCGGCGCACGGGGGGCACGCTGTACCGGGAGGGCCTCCTGAAAGGAAAACGGTTCTGTGGTCCCAGAGGAAATCTGCAGCTAAGTGCTCGCTGGGAGGATGGGGCCCGCGCGGGTGGATGTGCTGTCGGCGCTGCGGAGCGACCGGCCACCTCCCGCTGCGGTGCGAAGAAAGGACGCCTCCTCCTTCTCGTCCGACTGCTGCTCCTCCTCCCCCATGCTCCTCTAGCCTCCTCCATCCTTCTCCTCCTCCTCCTCCTCCTCGATCTCCTCCTCCTCCTCCTCCTCCTCCTCCTCCTCCTCCTCCTCCTCCTCCTCCTCGATCTCCTCCTCCTCCTCCTCCTCCTCCTCCTCCTCCTCCTCCTCGATCTCCTCCTCCTCCTCCTCCTCCTCCTCCTCCTCCTCGATCCTCGCTGCCCTCCTGCAGGGGGAGAGCCCGGACCTCGAGGCGGCCGAGGAGGACGGAGGAAGAGAGGACACCGCGGCCACCTCGTGCTGCGGAGGGCCGGGGAAGGGAGGGCAGGAGCCTCCGTGCAGGGGAGGAGGAGGAGGAGGAGGAGGAGGAGGAGGAGGAGGAGGAGGAGGAGGAGGAGGAGGAGGAGGAGGATCGGGGGCAGTGAGGACTTCGTGCGTCGGAGGACCTCCTCGCTCCTCCCAGATCATCAGTCTGACGGGGCGCGTGTGCTTCTGCCCTAAGGACGGTCAACCCACGCGCGAACCAGGTTGGTAAACATTTAGAGGTAACTATTCCTTGCAACTCGCTATAACCTGCAACGTAACATGTTGCTAATTCCCAGGGCGCTTTAGCTAACCATGTAGCTAACCTCGAGCAAACCCCAGTCACGCATTGGAAGGGTAACTTTCGACTAACAACTGTTTGCGCAAGTCATTCGAAACACCTTAACTGTTAAATGGGTATCCTATTAGTTGCTCTGCTTTACTACGTTTTAGTATGGGGATAACAAAGGTTGCTACTTCCTTACCAGCTGGTTGCTAGAAGTTACCAAACGCTTGCAATCGCTGCAAGGTTTACTACGACGCGCACCCTTCCAAGCGGGAAGGCTGATAATCTCGGACACCTTTAGCGACCGAGAAAATGATTGCCCGAACCGACCCTGTCTGGTCGTGTACGGCAGGTTCGTGTCGTGCCGACCCCGGCGTTGGTTTTTGACACCGAAGGGATCGTTCAACCTTGAACGATCGGCCGCTGCCGCAACGTCCGATCGTTCAACATCGATCGATTCTGGGTCGCCGGCGGCGTTCAACCTTGAACGCCCGCGCTGGGGTCGCCGCTGGTCGACACGACGCAAACCTACCGTAGACTAGCCCGTCGCGGGCACACGAAGTGGCGTCACTTCTTGCTCGACTGCTGGTAGAGCTTCTTGTACACCCCCCCCGACTCCATGAGCTCATCGTGGGAACCGCGCTCGACGATCCTGCCCTCCGCAACGACCAGGATGACCTGGCAGTGCTGGATCGTGGACAGACGATGCGCGATGGAGAAGGACGTCCTCAGAGGAGGAGACACATGCACAAACATCAACGTTTGGAGGCCCGCGCGGACCTTTTGGATTTAGGTCGGCCATGCCCCCCTGCAGGTGGATTCTGGACGACAGATACAGAACACTCCAAATACAGGTTCAAAATGATGGAACCTATCCTCCCCAGACTATGTTTGTACTATTTTGGAATAGTCCTCCTAGAGAGGGACAAGCCCGACTTAACCCTTGGCGCGCAGGGTGCGCCAGGGGCTATGCCGGAGGCGCCCCCAGGGGCTCCATCGCAGATCAGGACTTCCACGCGGAGCTCTGGACGATTCTGTGCTCACGCAGCTTCTTTCTTCCTCGGCGTCCTGCCCCGCTGCGCCTTCTCCAGCGCGGCGGACACCACCTTCTCGCTCTGGCTGTCGAGAGCGCTGGTGGCCTCGTCGAGCAGAAGAACGGGTGGGTCCTTGACCATGGCGCGACAGATCGCCACGCGCTGCTTCTGGCCGCCCGACAGCCTCTGGCCGCGCGGCCCGACCTGCGTGTCCCAGCCCTTCGCTGTGTGGCTGTCCAAGAACGTCAGGTTGCACATCTGCTTGCACTCCTCGAGGCGCTGTTCGGAGACTTTCTCGCCGTCGTCGAGCCCGTACTTGACATTCTCCAGCACGCTGGTGTCGAAGAGGATGGGCTCTTGGCCGACGAAGCCCACCTGCCTCCTCCACCACCTGATGTTCAGCGTATCCAGCGGCGCCAGGTCCGCGCCGACCAGTACCTTTTAAGGGGCCCTGGGACACACAAATAATGCCTCACTGCGTGGAGATCCCCATATGTGCATCTGTTTTTTAGAAAAGGATAATTGACAGTGGGATCTGGGAGTGCGCGTCTAGCCATGCAACGCAACATGCGAATCTCATGTTGAGACATCCCCACAAAAGGGCCGCGAACGGAGCCTTGAAAACACCCTTGGCGGCTCCCCGTAGGGGTGCTGAAACCAGCGCCCCGCCTGAGACATCCGCACAATCTACTCTGGTAGCCAAGGATGATGAGACAGAAAACAATCAAACCGCTTGAGACATCCCCACAAAACGGCCGCGAACGGGACCGTGAAATCACCCCTGGCGGCTCCCATTAGGGGTGCTGAAACCAGCGCCCCGCAATTCTGAGTATGAGGTAGTCTGGGTATGAGTGAGTCTCAGCATGAGTAAGTCTGAGTAGGAGTAGGTCTGAGTATGAGTAGGTCTGGGTATGAGTAAGCTTGTGTCTATTCGCATGGGCCTGTCCGCCGTGAATGTCTACGCGCAAGAGCTTTCGAATATAAACGTGCTTCAGTTGTGACGGTCTGGTCATGAATCTAACTGAGCATGAATTGGAGTGTGAATGAGCCTGAGTAGTACGAGCGCGTTTCTGCGCATGAGCCTGGGTCCTCCTGGGGCCTCCTGGAGCCTCCTGAAACCTACTAGGGTTTCCTGGGGCCTCCAGGAGCCTCTTGGGGCCTCCTGGGACCTCCTAGGGAAGATTCGTGCCCCAGGAGAGGCGCAATCTATAGCAACAGACGTACATAAAACATTGCGGATTGGAGCCACAGGAGGAGAAGGGGGCAATCTATAGGAACACACGTAAAACACCAAGGACTCGTGCCCCAGGAGAGGCCCTATAGGAACATAAATACACAGGAGAAGGACAATCTATAGAAACATACGTATGACATCAAGGATTCGTGCTCCAGGTGAGGCCCAATCTATAGGAGCATACGTCAAACACATGGGATTGGAGCCACTCCTGTTGCCTTCTGACGCCTCCTGCTCCTGGGGCCTCTCGGGGCCTCCGGTTGCCTTCCGAGGCCTCCTGGCGCTTTCTCTGGCCTCCTGGGGCCTCCTGTGGCTTCCTGAGGCCTCCCGGAGCTTCCTGGGGCCTCCTAGAGCCTCTTGGGACACCCTGTGGCCTCTTGAATCTTTCTGTGGCCTCCTGATGCCTCCTGAGATCTCATGTGGGCTCCTGGGGCCTCCTGGAGCTTGTTGAAGCTTCCAGTGGCATCCTGAGGAGAATCTGTGCCCACGAGTCTGGCCATCGATCGAGACATCATCAAAATCTGGCCCAACTGGGGGGTGAAAATGAGCGCCTCGCTCGAGACATCCTCCAAATCTGCTCCGACAACGAAGGATGCTGGGACAGAAAACAAGCGAACCGCTTCAGACGTCCCCACAAAACGGCCGCGAACGGGATCGTGCAACACCCCTCGGCGGCTCCCCTTAGGGTCGTGAAAATGAACGCCTCGCTCGAGACATCCTCCAAAACTGCTCCGACAGCGAAGGATGTTGGGACAGAAAACAGGCAAACCGCTTCAGACATCCCCACAAAACGGCCGCGAACGGGACCGTGCAACACCCCTCGGCGGCTCCCCTTAGGGACGTGAAAATGAGCGCCTCGCTCGAGACATCCTCCAAATCTGCTCCGACAGCGAAGGATGTTGGGACAGAAAACAGGCAAACCGCTTCAGACATCCCCACAAAACGGCCGCGAACGAGACCGTGCAACACCCCTCGGCGGCTCCCCTTAGGGTCGTGAAAATGAGCACCTCGCTCGAGACATCCTCCAAATCTGCTCCGACAACGAAGGATGCTGGGACAGAAAACAAGCGAACCGCTTCAGACATCCCCGCAAAACGGCCGCGAACGGGATCGTGCAACACCCCTCGGCGGCTCCCCTTAGGGACGTGAAAATGAGCGCCTCGCTCGAGACATCCTCCAAATCTGCTCCGAAAGCGAAGGATGTTGGGACGGAAAACAAATAAACCGCTTGAGACATCCCCACAAAACGGCCGCGAACGGGGCGTGCGTGAGTCTCAGCATGAGTAAGTCTGAGTAGGAGTAGGTCTGAGTATGAGTAGGTCTGAGTATGAATAATTTTGTGTGTGAGTAAGTCTGGGTATGAGTAAGTCTGAGTGTGAGTCAGTCTGTGTATGGGTAAGTCTGGGTATGAGGAGGAGAGGGGAGGAGAAGAGGGAGAAGGAGTAGGAGGCGTCCAAGTATTAACAAGAACCCCATCTTAGGATATGGGGAAATAGACGCAAATCCCATGAAGTCCGATAGTTTTCCATGTTTGGGGGACTTTCGTCTTCCCCCCACTTCCCATATTTTCGCATATTTTCTGGGGAATCAACGATTCATTGTGTCTGTGCTTTCTTCCCTCCTGAACCTTTCCCGCCTGCGGATCGTAGAATCGCTGCAGCATGGCCAGCACTGTGCTCTTGCCACCGC